TGTCTACAAAATAGTGGTAGAATAATAATAATTCTGTCTCTATAACACAGATGTTGCCAATGTTAAAAGAAAAACCTGAAACTATATCAAAGACATAGTTAAAATATTTTAAAATACATTCTATTTTAAGTATTATTTCAGCTTATAAGATTTTATATCACAAACATAAGAAGTAGTAGATTTATGTGGTAATTTATACACAAATATTCATAGCTCTCTCAGAAGCAAACGTTAATATTTTATCCAAACTTGAACCTGTTTTGTTTTGATTGTGTTTGTTGGAGTTTGGTTTGGCTTTGGTACTGGAACTGAAGTCTAATGTTCATGTTTGCTAGGCAACTTTTCTACCATTTGAGCAATACTTCTAGTCCTTTTATCTTTAATTTGTTTTTCAGATATAGTCTCATATTTTTGCCACTGTTGGCCTGGTACCATGATCCTTCTTCTTCTTCCTGAGTAGCTAAGATGACAAGATGAACCACCACATTTCTCTTGTTTTGGAGAGGGATATCACTAACTTCTTTTCTGAGCTATCCTCGAACCATTATCTTCCTACCTCTGCCTTCCAAGTAGGGGGAATTACAGGCATGTACTACCATGCTGGCATGAACTTGGTTTTGAAATGAACATTGTCCCATGAAAGAATTGTACTTGGGAACTACTTGGATAAAGTGATTATGAAAATATCTTTCTGTGAAGTTCAGCTACAAGCTGAAATCTAAATAGTAAACAAGAGGCAGCTATGGAAAACAAGGAAGAGGACATTTCTTGTTGTTGCTTTTAAATTTTTATTGGAAGCTGATACACAGAGGGGTTGCAGTTACATAAGTCCGGTATTGAGTACATTTCTCTTTGAACAGTGTCATCCTCCCTCATTTTCAGGGAAGAAGAAGTAGGAAGAAGAAGTGGGACAAAGGGTAAACTAATTCAGCAATAAGACTCACTAGACATTAAGTTGGAAATAAAGTATACAACTTGGTGGGGGGGGAGGAGTCGGGTGGGAAGAGGGCATTTCTATGAAGGCATTTCTCTGTGTGTGCAGAGGGACTTGAGTAGGAAGATATTGCTATTCAGAGGAGCAAAAGAAGCTAAAACTTAGTGGACAAAAAATGTGGAATGAAATGAACTTAGAGAGACTTTTGCAGGTTAAGTGACCTGTATTTTATTCTAAAGGCTTTGGAATGGCACTGAGTTCCTCCTGTAGTTAAGTTCAAATGGACAAGCTGATCCCAGTCCCATTTGTAGAAGATTGTGCAAGTTCCTAGACAGAATGAATGATGCACTGCCTGCCATATGTCCACCTCCCACAGCTTCCCATATTTGTCAGCCGACCAATAATGTATCACTTATCCTTCAGCTGTACTTCAGGATCTTTTGTGTAATTTTTATTACTCCACTCCCAAGTTCTTGGTTAAAATCATAACTTAGTTTGCACACAAAACCTAGATGTTCTGTAAATATTTACTAAATGGGTAAATGTATATGTTCAGCAGTTCTCAGCAATCAGTATGCCTCAGAAAGAAGTGGGAAGACATAAAATGTGTGTGTGTGTGTGTGTGTGTGTGTGTGTGTGTGTGTGTGTGTGTGAGGGGTACACCCCAGAAGGATCCTAGTCTCATTGTTCAGTGAGTGTGCTGTAGCAACTCCTAGGTGGCTCTGGTGTGCAGTCAGAGATGAGCGTCAGGGAATGCTCTGATTCTGGGTGCTCTGAAATATTACCTACAGCCTTCGAAATGCCTGATAGCTGCCTATCCTTCACAGTAATTAATGTATAACACAAATGACCCCATTGAATAGCCTTTAAAGTCATTGAAAATAGTGAATTTGGGAATCTATAATCTGGAGGTCCCTTATCAAGCTGCATTTTCCAAAAGTGCCTTCGATTACCACCCCTTTGAAAGGAGAAGATAAATTACTGTTTTTCGTTAGACATCTGGAATTTGAGTGACTCTGTTATTATTTATCAGCTGTAGACTCTAAAACACCAAATAAGGAAAAGCTTGAGCCATCATGTTTCCTTCAAGTATGGTATTCAAAATGTCTTGTTAGTGTATGTTAGTGTAAGTGTTTTGCTTTCAGAAAGGGAAAGTTTCTATTTAATTCTATATAATGTGTATATAATAATATAATTCTAAGGCACCTGCTTCAAAACAGAAGCTAGGATGTTGGTGATAATAGCAATAAACAAAAATTAAACCAAGCTGGGCTGAATGCCCAGGAAAACTAGCCAGATATCAAGAGCTGGGTGAGCAGTAAAATAAGAGGGGGGAAAAGGCAGGAATGGATGGGTATCACTGTCTGTGGTATAAACAGGGGATTTATAGCATGTTCCATGCTGAGGAGTTCCCTGGGGAAATTTGTCATTGTGGGTGGGGTTCCTGCTTGCCTCATTTTAGTGACAAACTTCCAATGAAACTTGGCCTTTCTACAATGTAAATGTTAAACATGCCAGGACTATATACTGATCCGACATTGTGTTTGAGCGTTTCCAATGAAATAAACTTCTTGGAAACAAACAGACCAGAAGTAAAAATAGGAGTTTGTAAGAACTCTAACTGGAGTTAGAAGGAAAGCCTGCAAGTTTCCCAGGATGCTGAAATGTCCTGAGATTTACATAAACAAGGGAGGAAATCCTCTTGAGGGTGGGTGGGAAAGTATCTAATACAGGAACCCATGTTTTCCTGTTATTGAAAAGCATTCTTTAATCTTTTAAGCACATTTTAGCCCTGCAGATATTCCAGGTGTGTTGTTTCTTTTAATATTAAAATGTAACACCACACAACAACTCTCAGAGAGGCCTCTAAGGTATCACATTTGTGTCATAGGAGATACATACACACACACGCACACACACACACACACACAGAATCAAATAAATGGATGGACAGCACCCTGGGCACACTAGTAATAATTGCTTGAATTTATTTAGGTGAACGGTTATTTCCAGTGGCACATAACAGGCTTAGAGCCTGTTAGGAGAGACTATTTGTGTTAGGGGATGATAAAATTTCCTATGATCATGGGTAATGAAGGGATAATGACTTTTTTTAACCACAAAAGTGAATGTAATTGGTATGGAATGTTTCAAAGAGTTTTAGCCAAATATAACTGAGATAATAGGTCACAGCTAAAGCTTTATTTGAAGTTTTTTCTTCAATTGTTAAATTCTGGTATAAGCAAAGGGAGAAGATTGTATTGAGGCCATGAAGACTATTGTCAGTGCTGGGACCAGAGGTTCCCATAATGTCTACAGCATATCTCTTCTCACATCTCAAGAGCCAAAACTGCCATAGACCATGGGATTAAGGAACCTAAGGGGTTGGTTACCACCTGCTTATCACCTGCTTTCTGTCCTTCATCCCTCAAGAATTCTTTTAAGCCAAGTGCTAAAAGGTGGTTCACACTTGTAATCCTAGTTACTGGAAAGTCTGAGATTGGCAGGAGGCAGGCCAGGGAAGAAAATTTATCTCCAGACTTCTCAACTGAGAGCTAGATATGATGGCATATACTTGTTACCCTAGCTACAAGGGCAAGTATAAACTAGGTAGATCACATCCTGTTGTGCATCCAGGCAGAAGGTGAGGCCCTATCTCAAAAGTAAATATCACAAGCCAGAGTGAGAGTCATTATTCAGCAATAAGAGAACCTATCTAGCAAAGGTAAGGCCCTGAGTTCAAACACTAATGATGATGATGATGATGATGATGATTTCCTGTCTGTTAAGCATCTGCATAGTAATTGGAAACAATGGAAGAATATGACGCAGTTCCCCTCAGGGCAGTGATTAGTGTTAAATTCATTCCAACCAATAGGGCTTGTCACTTTCTCTGTCTCCTCCCCGGGCTTCATTTCTATTTAATCTTACTACAGTTTATGTCCAAAGCTCAGGAGGAACTTTGAAGAAAGCCCTTACAGCTCTTAATTACCTCTCCCACCATGCTTGTCTTTTTTTTGCAGGGGGGGGGGGGAAGGGGTCCAGTCGTGGGGTCTGAACTGTGGGCCTGGGCGCTGTCCCTCAGCTCTTCAGCTCAAGGCTAGTGCTCATACCACTTGAGCCACAGCGCCACTTCCGGCTTTTTTCTGCTTATGTGGTGCTGAGGAATTGAACCCAGAGCCTCATGCATGCAAGGCAAGCGCTCTACCACTGAGCCAATTCCCAGCCCCCCACCATGCTTGTCTTTAAAGCACCAAGTAGGAGAGATATTGGAGGCTTCTCCATCGGTACTTGAGGTGAGAGGTGAGGCTTGTTCATCTGCCTGAGGCAAAAAGAAGGGCTGTCCTGGTCTTGCAGGTGTAGTGACCTCAGGAACTCATATTGGGGTGTGTCCAGAATGTCAGATACAGCCATCATCAGATGCCAAGCTAGACACAAATGATATGATAAAGCCAAGATGTGCTTGTATTTGTGAACATGTGTGGTGTGTGTGTGTGTGTGTGTGTGTGTGTGTGTGTGTGTGTGTGTGTGTGTGTGTGTGTGTGTGGATAGTGACTGAAGTATTCTTAAAGTTGAAATCTCAGATACTTGCCCTGGAGTATAAAATTAGGAATACACATTGTAGTCCCCTAGAAAACTAACAACTTCATTTCCCTGAACAGGTGGCCTTCCTAGTAAACCTTCCAGATTCCTGTCAGCCCTGTATCTACTTAGTTTTCCCTACAATCTGTAATTGTGTTCTTTTAACCTCTTCTAGCCTATCACCAGGGATTGGTGGTATTCACTTAAGCTGATTTCAATTTGATTGGATAAGGGCTATTGTTAAGAGCTTTTCAGTACTCCTCTTTCAGGAAACACATAGCCATTCATCTTCTCCCTCCTTCCCTCTTTCCCTCTCCTGTTCTCTCTCTCTCTTCTTTCCTTTCCTCCCTTCCTTTCCTTTCCCCTCACATCCCTCCCTCTCCCTCACTCTGCATATTCACAGTAGATGTTATATAGAAACACATAGAATGAGGAAGTAAGCCAACCTGCAAATCCACTCATCTGATTGGTCTTTTCTTGGCAGTGACAAACAAGAAACCCACACAGGCGTCTATCACGAAGGTCAAACAGTTTGAGGGCTCCACATCATTTGTTCGGAGATCACAGTGGATGCTTGAGCAGCTTCGCCAGGTTAATGGTATCGATCCTAACCGGGTAAGTGGATTTTCCAGTGCTGAGCGGAGGAATTCTCTTCTCCAGATGACACTTTAACCTTGGTAGTGGTAGTGGTGGTTTTAATCATTCTTAGCAAGATATTTCTTGATGATGATCAAAACATTATCACCATTCATCAAAGTGTCACTTAGCTCCTAATGTCACCAGTGACAAAGATCATCTACCAACACTTATTACCAGAAATCAAGCAAAATATGTGTTAAGGTTCCTTTGGATTTAATGAAGTATTTTATGATATAGCTATTTATGTACCCAATCCCTTTTACACATACACATACACACACATACACACACACATACACGAGCAAATACCTCAATAATGAAGAATATGTAAATTGTTATTATGTACTAAAATTAAAAAAAAAAAATCTTTTCCTACAGAACTTTAGGGACAAGATTAATACCTTCTTTAAGTAATTGGAGTAATTACACACAGTCAGATTCTGATGTAACTCAATAGTTAGGCTGTTTTGGCTTCTGTACTATTGGCTTTTTAGGTCCAAACAGGATTTACATCTTGTTTGATAGAGAAATATGGACTCCCTCTTCACTTGGGTCCTAGTTAAGATGAACCTTATGATTGATTCCACAACTTTATTTTCCCCTTTATGCATTTTGACAGACTAAGCACTGAGTTTCTGTTTTGTTTTGTTTTAATGAAATGAGACCAGTAGTGGTTTCATTGTCTTTTCCAGGATTCTGCAGAGTTTGATTTGTTGTTTGAAAATGCTTTTGACCAGTGGGTGGCTAGCACAGCCTCAGAAAAATGCACCTTCTTCCAGATCCTCCACCACACGTGCCAGAGGTACCTCACTGACAGGAAGCCAGAGTTTATTAACTGCCAGTCCAAAATTATGGGAGGTAAGGGAACACTTACATGATTATATTCATGCTGTTTTCTTAGTTGTGCTTTTATATCAACAGATGTTCAGTGACATAATTTCTACTAAATAAAAGAATCAAAATACTCAGAACAAGCCAGTATTGGAAGCATCCTAGGGACATCATTGTATACTAAAACTAGACACACTAGTTGATTTGCATCAGAAGCCAACGCTGATCTTTTTAGAAGAATAAGTCATGGAAGTAGATTATTTGTCTTATGAGAACAATCCTATGCCTTTATTAGAAAAACCTATCCATCTGGTTTCTTTATGGCCTTTTCTATAATTTCATTGCACAACACTAGGTTTTCTTTCTTGGGGTTGGGGGAAAGTCAGGGGAGTCCTTTTTTCTTTTTTTTTCCCCCTCAGAATGTTTAAAACTTACTAATATAAAAATTCCAAAGATACTGTCCTTTTCTTTCAAGTAATAGCTTGTCTTTGGTTTCTTCCTGAGTGAAACCCAGAGCCAAGCTCTGGTGAGTGCTATAAGACAAGGTTATGGGGTTAGTAACACCATATGGACAACATTGAGTGGGTGCTTTTGGAGGGCAAGACTTTTCAAGGAATTAAAATTGCAAAAAACATACAAATCTTGACAATCACTCTGTGAATTGAGAAAGAGTTTTTATATCATCATTCTTTTCATTGACTTATTTTCCTGGTTTTGAAAAAAAATGGTGTTTTTGTTCCTGAAATGCATCAAATTCACTCTAATCAAATAATTGAAGATTCCATACCCAAGATATGTTAAATATTTTCTTTAAACTCTGTCTTTCATCTGAATTTGTATTAGACTCCCTATTCTTTGTTCATAATTGATGTGTTCCCACAATCATTGGCCCAGTCCTATAAGTAGTGGAAGGTCTACTACCTTCGGAGCCCCAGAAGATGGAGAGTTGGGATGCATGCCCTTTTTCTAATGTGAAACTTTTAGTGTACGTATTGGAGAAAAATAAGATTCCTTTTCTCGAGAGCTCAAGTAAATAATATTAAGTAGTAGATTTGGTTTTGTCTGTTGTGATTGTAGGTGTCACTTCCACCTTCTGTAGAACTTGATTTCCCCATATGTAACATGGAGGGTAGACCAGATATCTAAAGTCTCAGTTCATCATTCTGGGAATCTGTATTTGTTTGGTTGTAGGTCTATTGTGTAGGCTAATTGCTTCTTGATGAAGGAACAGAATAAAAGATTTATACTGCAATAAATATTGACTGTTCCTGGATTCCTAAGGAGGACCCAAAATGAAGTTTGTGTGAAGCATATTGTAATTTGTTGGCAACACATATGCCCTTAATGAATTCCATTTATCTTATTTAAACAGTTGTTTCTCCTTGATAACAGTTATACCAACACACCCTGATGAATTACTGCTTTGATTAGTCTTTCTTTCTGCCATTTATCACAATTCTAAGACATAAAAGTTTTGTTTCTGGGATCACTATGATCTGGCCCCTTTAATGTTTCTATACCTGTCCCATTCTGAGTGCATGAAATATGATCCTGGACACAAATACTAGATATAATTGTTTCTTATACTGTAAACTATAACTGTTTTGTGATTTTTAGAGAATTAATATTTGTGTTGGCATGCTGCCTTCCACTAAACTCTTTACCCCTCTGATATCTATTTCTTAGTTTTTTAAAGCAGCCTCTGTAAACACAGTTTATCACCTTCACCTTACAGAGAAAGAAACTCCTCAGAGAGATCATTTAATAGTTAGCCAAGAGTCATGTCACTCGACAGTAATGAAGATAACATTCCAACTCAGCTCACACCCAACTCAGCACACTCCTGTGATTATGACATTTGGATGTCAGTGACCTGTTTTTCAGGAGATTTGACCTTTTTGTGAGCATGAGTCCAGCTCTAGTCTTCCGGGCTTGCTTTTGCCTTTCTAACTTATTATCCAAACACTCAACTTCTTCTTACAATGTATTGGATAGTGTTCTTAACTTTTGTTGGTGTTATATTTCAGTAAATCCTTACTAAGGTATAAACCTAAGGGAATATGTATGTACTTCTAATCTAGTAAATATTAAGCCTTAATCCACCCTGTGTTAAAAATACCCTGTTACATTACCCTAAAGTTGGGCAAAATCATGTAACTTGATTAGAAATTTATATTACTTGCAATAAATAATTTTAATTGTGGGCAGCAGAGGGGAACCTTAGGGCTTAAACTCAAGGTCAGGGCCTTTTGATCAAAAGTAGGACACTACCTGAGCCACAGCTCCACTTTAGGCTCTTTGTTTTCTATTTTCTTTTTTTGTAGTTAATTAGAGATAAGAGTTTCACAGACTGTCCTGCCAGGGCTGGTTTCAAACCACAGTCCTCAAATCTCAGCCTCCTGCATAGCTAAGATTACAGGCATGAGCCACCAATGCCCAGCACAAATAAGTAAATTTTAAGATTTAAAAAAAAACAAAGCCAGAAGCTGGTGGTTCACACCTGTAATCCTAGCTACTCAGGATGCTGAGATCTTAGGATCCACGGTTTGAAACCAGGATAGGAAAGTCCATGACACTCTTATCTCCAATTAACCACCAGAAAACCAAACTGGAAGTGGCACTGTGGCTCCAGTAGTAGAGTTCTTACCTTGAGCTGAAGAGCTCAGTGACAGCACCCAGGCCCAGAGTTCAAGCCCCATGACCAACAACAACAAAAATCATCTCCTTTGGAAGAACTGATTGCCCACTTTGAGACATCCTTACATTGTCTTCAGTATGAATGGTGCACCCTGGATTTGCACAGAAGTTGTTGAACATATTTTAGCCAGCATAATCTTTGTTTTTAGAAAGGGGGCAGGTAAAAAGGGAGTAACTGGGGATTATGGATAGCTTAAAATTTTTCACCTTGCTTCATCATAGGTACATAATTATGATAATAAACTTTTTTGGTCCTAAGAACCAGTCACGGGGCTGGGAAAGTGGCTCAGTGGTAGAGTGCTTGCCTTGCATGCATGAGGCCCTGGGTTCGATTCCTCAGCACCACATAAGCAAAAAGAAAAAAAGGCGGAAGTGGCGCTATGGCTCAAGTGGTAGAGCGCTAGCCTTGAGCTGAAGATCTGAGGGACAGCGCCCAGGCCCAGAGTTCAGGTCCCATGACCGGACCCCCCCCCCAAAAAAAAGAAAAGAATCAGTAACTAAAGACCTTTAAATCTGTCTTCCTTTTGGATTTGTACTTGCTTCCATTCACCAGAACTTCAGCATATTAGGTGGATGAAAGCACGGGGAAGATGCTACAGTCCCCTCGGTCACTCTGCACTGGTCCAGCTTGGGCATTGGGAAAACTGAGGCCAAGTGATTTTGAATGACACTGTCATGACACTGTAGAAGAAAGTCTACCTGACTCCATTGAACAATAGTTTCTCAATTGATATATTCATCAAGGCAAGCATTACTGAATCATACCATGGCATTTCTCTAAGTACAAACTCTCTGGCTGGCTTATCCGACTACTTCTTAGTCTTTTACACACAACATCCTGCAGTGCTCCACGCTTACTGTTGTATAAGACCAGTTGTGCACATCTTCTCTTATTCCACAGGCATTTGATCAGCATATCCAGATGTCAGGAACCAAGCTATCTATGGAGAACAACCACAGAGTAGATGTTTTCCTTCACTGACTTAATTAACCTTTCCAGTGAATACCAGGTGTACATTGATACAATCCATTGCATATCAGTAAGGCAGTGGCTGAGCTGCATTTTAAAAGATGACTAGCAATCACCAGACAGACAAGGACAAGATGAAATAACCCTCTCTTCTTCCAACAATTGGTTCAGATAGTTTTATTTCTGTGTTAGCTATATTCAGAGTTTGGGAAGTGTCCTTTTGTTTTTCCATGAAGCCACTTATTTTGAAGTGCCATATATTTTCAGCAGCAGCAGCAAAGGATATTTCAGAAGCATAACCCTGCTCCACATGGTGGTTCAGAAGATGCTGCTAAGCCCAGACTTCTGAGCACTATTAGAATTCCAGAGATGCAGAAGTCTCTGCGGTCTCCTTCATCCCAGGCTGGCCCTCTTTTGCCCCTGCTGATTGGTATGCTAGAAAGGAAACTCACATGCATCTGCTCTAGAATCCCCTATGGTGGACACGATCTAAAGATTTAATCACAGTGTCACTTTGTATTGTACTTTTCTTCCAAAGAATATGAGGTCACCTTCAGGGAGGTATGCGAATATGTCACCTTGTGAATGCTCCAGGCATGAGTACTCTTAAGTAAGGTAACAAATTTTTTAATCTTTATGTATATATTTATGTATATAAATTTTATTGTGTATTGTATATTACATATAAAGATATATATTACATACAAAGATTATATTATCTTTAAGTAAGTTACAAAGGAATTGCCATTCAACAAAGCAGTTTATGAATATGGTGTATCTTGATCAATGTCAGCCTTTTGAACATTCTCACCCATACTTCCAAACACACCTCCCTCCCTCACTTTGGTATGTTCATTCTTAATTTAATAGAATGCTTTAAGGAAATGCGTGATGTTGGTGATGATATACTTTTTTAATGTTCTTGGAGCCAGGCATTGGTGGCTCATGCCTGTGATCCTATATACTCAGCAGGCTGAGATCTGAGGATTGTAGTTCAAAGTCATCCTGAGCAGTAAAGTCCACAGGACTCTTATCTCCAATTAGGTACCAAAAAAGCAGAAATGGAGCTGTGGCTTAAGTGGCAGAATACTAGCTTGAGCAAAAAAAAAAAAAAAAAAAAAAAATTCAGGGACAGCACCCAGCCCTGAGTTCAAGCCCCAGGACTGGTGCACACACAACAGATATTCTTTGTCAGCAAATAAAATCATAATGAATAACGAGCCTCATATTCCTCTGTATGTTCCAGCAAGACACATAAAAATGTATTTCTTTTGTGAATATGCCATTCCTGGGGCTTGAACTGTGAATACAGGACCTGGGAGCTATCCCTTAGCTTTTTGATTTACTCAAGGCTGCAAAG